CTGCTGGATGTGCTTTGCCAGTCTTGTTTCTGTCTGGCTCAGCTCCGCTTGAATCTGCCTTCCAGTCGTTGGGTGCAGGCATGCAGTGGGTGAATTCAGATCCTCCTTCCTAAAGATGCCACCACGTTGTCATTTCTGACCTGATAGAAAGGAGAAATTCTAAACCTACCAAAGGAATCATATTAATTATAGGTCATCAACTTAATTATACTTAAAAGGAATGAGATTTACTTTTCAGAGATCTGGAATTTCATCCCCCTGCCTTTGTCAGTAGATTTGCAGAAAAACTTATCAATATTTTGAGCGTTTCTGTATCTGTGGAAGGATTTGTTTTTTCGTGGCACCAAAAGAGGATGGTGCTCCAGGATATGCTCATTTTATGTCCATAGGTTCAAAAACAGAGCCCCCTTGGTGTCAGTAGCAAGATCCCCAGTATTTCATCATCCCGTTCTAAGCTAATGCCAATATTGTGTACTCTCCTGGTTTCATTTTAGGAGCGACCTAGGTCCGGATGTTGGATATGAAGCTATTGGCCTTGTGGACAGCAGCTTGCCCACCGTGGGAGTATTTGCAAAAGGGACAGCAAAGGACACCCCAAAATCTGCCACAGAGGAATCAGGTTAAGACTCCTAAATTATGCTACAGGTGTTGTATCTCATTGTGTGGAGCAGGCTACTACCTAGGCAGGCCATATCGTGCTTTCCTTGGGTAAGCCTTGCTTCTTGCATGAACCCACAAATCCAGAATCATAGAACGTAAGGATTGGGAGGGAACTTCATCGATCATCTAGTTCAACTTCTCCTGCCAGTGCATTGCAGGCCGATGGGCATCCGACTTCTGTCAAAGCCCCTTCAGCAGAGAGGTTACCATCTCCTAAAGCAGTGATGGCGAACCTTTTAGAGACCGAGTGCCCAAAAACTGCCCCCCCGTCCCCACTCCACCCTGCCCACTGGGCTATCCACCACCTCCACGGCCTGCCACAGATCACCCGGGCAGCCCAACACCGCCATGGTGGCCATGCCCTCCGTCCGTGCCCTGTAGCATCATCTGTGCGCAATGGGGAACAAAGGTGGAGTCTTGTTCCCGCTGCCCAGTTACCATGTCCTTGGCTCTGCTGCTTTGTATGGGGCAACTCTCCAGGGGGGCTGCTGGTCAGGAGGGGGCTGTGGGAGGAGGCGGGGCTGGGGAGATGGTGCGTGTGCTCACAGAGAGGGCTCCAAGTGCCGCCTCTGGCACCCGTGCCACAGGTTCGCCACCACTGTCCTAAAGCAATCTGTTCCGTTGTGGCTCAGTCTTCTCACCATGAGGAATTTTATCCAGGTCCCCAGCCGACATCTACTTCCTGTTTTGTCCTACCTCTGGAAGCCACTGTGAATAATTTTTGCCACTTGTTGGGCACTAGAGACCAGGTCCACGTGTGAAGGTCCAGTTAAACTGATTTATGCCTATACTGGTTCCTGTGCACAGGAATCTTCTTGTTTAACCGTCAGCACATGCTTGGAGTTAGATAAGGATCAGTGGAATTCAAGGGTTAGACTCTGCTTATGACTACATAAAGATTCTAGGCTGAGCCCTCTTTTAACTCCACCGCCAGATTCTGCCGCTCGTCCTCCTGCGCATATGATTTTTCATATTTGACTTTCTTGTGCTTCAACATTGCTGCCGCCCTGGTTTTATCCTCAGACTGAATACACCCAAATACGTCAACCGTTGCCAATAGATATTCCTGCCAAGGCCCTTACAGCCTTTATCGCTGTCCTCTGGACACACACTCCAGTGTAATTTTGTTAGGTTTAGGGCGTAGCTGCAGCATCCCTAGGGCTGAACAAGATACTTATGTCTACTCGGTGGAAGGGAAACCGCTTTCTTTTGAAAAAAGCACAGGGCCTCCCCCGACATGGTGAGAGACGGAAGGGGTCCAGTACCTTGGGGGAGCCAAATGTTGATTCAACCGACTTGCATTTAGGAACTGGAATCCGTTCGGAGAGTGAAACCGAAATGGAAGCCTCAGAACTCAAAGTCTCAGCAGCCTCCCTTTCCACTCTGCAAGCTCCAGAGCAGGGAGAGGATTACGGGAAAGGAGTCATTTTCTACCTCCGGGATAAAGTGGTGGTAGGAATCGTTCTGTGGAACATCTTCAACCGGATGCCAATCGCTCGGAAGGTCAGTTTGCGCGGCTCTGCTCTGGGTGCACACACAGAATCAGCTGGGTTTGAGGGAGAGGAGCATTAATGGGTTCAATTTACTCTTATTTGGAATTCTTTAGCATGCCGATTTACAGTGTGTGTGTGTGTGTGTGTGTGTGTGTGTAAAAAACAGTTAAGGCATCAGGCTAGAAACTGCAAGATGGTAAGATCTAGTCCCACCTTAGGCACAAAACTAGCTGGCTGACCTTGGGCCAGTCCCTTTCCCTTAGCCCTAAGAAAGAGGCAATGACAAACCACTTCTGCAGGGACTAGTCCATGCAATCTGTAAGAATCAGACACGATTGTAAAAAATTTCTAGTCCTCAGGATAGAGCCAGGGTTCCCAACCGGGGTTGCTTGCACACCTTGGTGGTGCAAGACGATATTCCAGACGGTACGAAAACTTGGGTTTTCAAAAGTATAGCGCATATGCATAATTCGTTGCCATTATTTCAAACTTTTGTTAAGGGGTGCGAGAATATATCAGAAGCGTTCTAGGGGTCCCGGGTATAGAAAAGGCTGGGAGCCGCTGGGATGGAGGTTATTAGCTTGGTCAAAATCTCCATCTCCTTTATTTGAAAGGAGCATAGTAATATAGGCCAAGGAAGTCAGCTCCAGCCTAGATGATGATGAGGGAGAATGAAATATTTGCCGAATCTTGTGACAGGCTGGCAGTGGGAAATACAGGCGTTGGCAGGTACAGTTTGCAGATAATGTGGAGAGCCTATTTTAATGAAAATCCGAGCAGTGCTCCAGTTGCAATTCTTCCTCTTCCACCTCATACCAAGTCTCTGACCTTATAATTATGGATTGGGTTAATTCTTCCCCTCCCCTCAACTTCACCCTTCCTCTACTATTCATCAGTAGCAAAGAATCCATAAGTAAAGCGGTTTTGAGAAGCAGGCAACCTAAAACTGTTCTAAAATGCAGAATTTGAAGGACGAGTGCATTTCTTCTCTCATTTCTTGCCCTTCATGGATAAAGGAAGCAGCCAATGATAACCAGAGATGGTCCAGCTTCTAAGCGGGCTTTGCCTTGGGCGAGGCAAAAGCAGATCCAACAGAGAGATAGGCCTACCCCAAAGGCTTTTACTGAAAAATGCTTCCTTTTCTCCTGCAGATTATCAAGGACGGGGAGGAACACACTGACCTGAACGAAGTTGCCAAACTCTTCAACATTCACGAAGAATGAACGTCCGGTGGGGCGGTCTGGATTGCATTTTGCAAGTGGAGTGACAAGAGTGGGGCGCAGCCTGTGTGGTATCCAGTTTGTGGGTCTTCCTTCCACTCTGGGCAAATGTGAATATTGGGCTCCCCGCCCCTTTTTTTGCACCATGAATTAAATGAGATTAACTTTGCTATTACAGAGATCCACCCAGCTTGGGTTACCACTTCTCTGCTCTTAATTGGGCATTGTGCGGCGATTACAGCTAAGTGGTTTGTGTTATCAAAAGCCAGGTGTGTGATCTTTCCCGCTACCGAGACCTTTTAGGACAGAGTAGCAGGTAAGAGATGCCAACTGGGAAGTGTTATTTTGGACAATTTCCTGGTACTGCTGAGATGCTCAAGATTCATCTCAAGACAATGTTCATTTTTCAGTATTAAAAAGCAACAGGGAAAATTTTCACAGGTTGAGGGAACACCCAACCTCGCTTAGAAGGAACGTGTCTTAGGTTATCTGTGCTATCTGCCCATGTGTGCATTACTGCAACCCAAAACGCTGGGCTGATGAAAACCACAGGGGGAAACACTTCTGTAAGCCACATACAGTCACAAGGGCAACTGTCCCCCTATGGCCTGCTGGGAAGGGGTCTCCAACCTTGGCAACTTTAAGATGTGTGGATTTCAACTCCTAGAATTGTAAAAAAAAGTTGTTGAGACTCTAGAAATAGAGTGCAGAGAAGGGGCAACAAAGATGGTTAGGGGACTGGAGGCTAAAGCATATAAGGAAAGGCTGCTGGAATTGGCTATGTCTCGTTTAAAGAAGAGAAGGATGAGAGGGGACATGATTGCAGTATTCCAATATCTCAGGGGCTGCCCCAAAGAAGAGGGAGTTAAGCTATTTTCGAAGGCGCCTGAAGGCAAGACAAGAAGCAACGGGTGGAAACTAAGCAAGGAGAGAAGCAACTTAGAACTAAGGGGAAACTTCCTGACAGTGAGAACAATTAACCAGTGGAACAACCTGCCTCCAGAAGTGGTGAATGCTCCAACACTGGAAGTTTTTAAGAAGAGACTGGACAGCCATTTGTCTGAAATGGTATAGGGTTTCCTGCCTGAGCAGGGGGTTGGACTAGGTGACCTCCAAGGTCCCTTCCAACTTTTACGATATTATTAAGTTGCCAAGGTTGGAGACATCTGCCTTGGGTCCTGGAGAAACCCTTTGATATGCTGAGTAAGCGAGGTTGAAGCAACTTCTGTGGCTTCCTGTTGAGTACATCCCCAGTTGCATGGGCCGATTGGGCTAGAAGCAATGCCTTCCCCTGCCTGCCTTTTGTCAAATCTCTTAAGACCAAAAGAAGACAAACGTTTTAACGAAGTGAAGTTCTCATCATCTGGCCGAGGTTTCTTAATATTTACATTTTAAAAATAACCAGGACATTGTAAATTCGACTTGACTAGCCTGTTTGGATTCTTGAGAATGCAAAGGCTCTCGGCAGGGTGTCTTAAAAATGGCACCTCCGCAGCTGAGACTGCTCTGGCATTGCTTAAATCGGGGGTCACCAACCTTGGCAACTTTTAAGACTGGAGGACTTCAACTCCCAGAATTCCCCAGCCAGCCATGCTGGCTGGGGAATTCTGGGAGTTGAAGTCCACCAGTCTTAAAAGTTGCCACGGCTGGAGACCCCTGGCTTAAACGGTTAGCACTGCTGTCAGATTGCTCTGGCTTGGAATTTGGCGATCTTTGTGGAGTCGACACTTCTAAAGAATAGGCAGGAAACAAAAGAGTTAAAGGCTGCTCTAAACGGGAGCCCCCAAAGGTTTTTACTACGATTCCCTTCCGCTTTGATTCAGCTGGTGGGAAGGGCAGAATCAAAGGTGCCGACTGGAAGTAGCTTAGGCTGCCTCCGAGAAAACTGGAAGCATGGATCGGTCCCATTTCCTCGACCAACTTTGACTTAAATTTCCCTTCCACCCTTCCCTGTTTGCAAAGCAGAGCGAAATTCAACCCAGTCCCTCGGAAGGACCTGCTCAGTCCTCCCTCCCCCCTCCAGCCCAGATGGGCTCGACACCAGCGTGTAGAGCAGGGGTGTCAAAGTGCCATGAGGAAACCCACCCCATTGCCAGCAATGGGGAAAAAGTTCTGATACGTCATCACGCAAAGTCGCAAGTTTGACACCTCTGGTGTAGAGAAAAAGGAGGCTGAATTTTGACCAAGGAAAGAACACCCATTGTCCCAATTTCTCCGGGGTCAGGATAAAGCTACAGAAGGCTGCTCTTCACCAGGGGGATCCCAGCCCACCCTCTGCCTTCCGAATCGCCGTGTAGCATGGAAGGCCACGCTGCTCCGACGAAACTTTGTGTGCAAGACCACACCATGCCTAAAAATGAAGACGCAGGAGACGGGGGCCCTGATGCAGGTTTTTCTGTACAGAAGTGTTTTTGACACCAAAGCATTGTTCCAAGAATAAAACAAATCGGAGAAAAGGGTGGAACCAGCAGCCAGAATAAACACCCAAAGGCTGATGCCTCGACATGAGAAAGAGGGAGGGGAAGGAAAAAACAGAATGATTTTGCTTATTAGGGAGGAGGGGGTGGTGGTGCTGAAGAGGCAGCCTCCCTGGAAAAGAGGAGGGTGGGGGGAGAGAGAAGCAGAAGGAAATGCAGCTTCTCCCGTTGGGAGGGTGGGATGAGGTGGACCGCAACACAAAAGAATGGAAAAGCACCCAGACACCCCATCTCAGTTACAGGGAAGAGCCAGTAAAATGGATTGTCCAGTCCTTGGTTAGCACCTGTACATTAAAACTGTACCATCTATGCCCCCTTTCCTGCCCCCTAGCTGGGCTGCTTCTCCACGGCCTGGCTGAAGATGATGGCCCGGCTACCTGAACCACCGATGGAACCAAGGGAAGAGTTTAAAAAAAAAAAAGAAAAAAAAAGCAGGGAGAAAAGTTAGCCCAGAATACTGAAACTCCTTTGGCTCCATACCAATTCAGTCCCTGTCCAGAGAGAATCTTCTGGAAAAGGGCTGGGGGGGGAGCCAAAGAGGAAATCATTCTCCCCCCCCCCCTTGCCCAACAAACCAAATGTCCCTCCAAATGAAAGGAGGAATACCGTGGGGCACCCCATCCTTCCCTCCTTGCATTTCATGAAATCCAGGTTGGGGGAGGGAAGCAGTAGTCTGGTCCAGCCGGGATGGGGTGGCTACCGGGATGGGGTGGCTACCGGAAGGCAACCCCACCCCCCTCTTGCAACTGACTCTTCCCAAGAATCACAGTGATACAGACTTAGCAGAAGTTCCCCCCCGCCCCCACTCAAAGGAACACCACAAATTAAATACTAATTAAATAAATACCCTGGAAGAACTTGGGACGGGGTCTAGTGAGAAGGGGGGGGGAGAGATGGGTTCCACTTCAAAACCACCAAGGCCTGCAGGGAGGGGGAGGGGGCAGCAAACTTCAAGTCCCGGAGAAGGGAGAGAGAGAGAGAGAGAGAGGAGTCAGCCCCTGGCCCTCTCCCCCCCCCCCCCAAAACGGGAGGAGAGCAACCAGCCGCCACAAGTCAATAGAAGGGCTGTGCCCCTCCCCCGTTTGGCCTGGAGAAGGCCGCCTCATTGGTCCATTATTGCCTCACGGTGCAGTCTGACGGTGGAGGGAGACGGTGGTGGAGGGGCTTCTCCGGCTGGCCTGTCGGGGCCCCGTCAGCTGCTCCAGGCTTCGAACACCACTTCGGAGCCCAGTAACCGGACCAGCTCCGGCTGGTAGCGCACCAGCTCCACCGTCTCTATGGCGCCCGGAGCCGCAGAGGGACACACCACGTGTTCCTGGGTTTCTTCGGGAGCCAGGACCTGGCTGAGCGAGATCTGGTGCTGGAACTCCGCTCGGGGCAGAGTCGTCACCTCAAAGTGCGGGAAGCGGGCTTGAAAGATGCGGGAGGAGAATTTCAGGCGCTTGAGGACGTCCGAGAAGAGAAACCAGTTGCAGGGCCTGGCGAGGAGACAAAAGGGACATGGCGGTCAGCGTGGGGGTGGGGGAACTCTGAGGTCTGGCTCCGCTATTGGGTTCCAGAATCTTCTCCAATATTTCTGACAAGGAAAAAGCTTCCTCCTCTCTCCTTGGCGGGAGTTGCGATTCGGATCCACTTTCAAAGGGGCAAAGAATAATGCCCCCTTCGTTTACAGCAGGGGTCCTCAAACGTGGCCACTTTAAGACTTGTGGACTTCAACTCCCAGAATGCCCCTCAAACTTGGCCGCTTTAAGACTTGTGGACTTCAACTCTCAGAATTCCCCTCAAACTTGGCTACTTTAAGACTTGTGGAGTCTTAAAGTGGCCAAGTTTGAGGACCCCTTCGTTTATAGGCAGTCCTTGATTTACGACCACAACTGAGCCTAATTATTTCTATAGCTAAGCAAGGCAACGGTTAAGTCAGGTTAAGTCAGCGTTGCCTCATTTTTCTCACTACAGCCGTTAAGCACTGCGGTTGTTTTAAGTTAGTAACGGTTGTTATGTGCCTCTGGCTTCCCCATTGACTTTGCTCAGCAGAAGATCGCAAAAGTGGATCACATGCCCCCCGGGTCACTCCAAACCTCTGAATTTTGATTGGGTGACCCCCACACCATCGTGTGAAAAATGATCATCCGTCGCTTTTTAGCACCACTCTAATTTCTTAAATGAAGTCGAGGACTACCTGTGTTTCTAGTGCTCACCGTGCAAATCCTTTCGTCAGAGAATGATGGGACTTTGATCCCTGCCTTATTAGACCCCCCCCCTCTCAGCCCACCCTCTTGTCTCCCATCTCTGAGGCTGCCGTTGCAGACAGCAAATGCTCAGAGAAATCTTGCCGTTTCTGTTCCTTCATCCTTCAGCTGCCAAGCTCCCTCTGAGAAGACATGGAGGCTATTACCTTCAAAACTGCACCTGTTGGGGGGAGGTGAGTCCACCTCTCCCCAGCTTTGGCTTGGCTTCCTTCTTAACTGAGATGCCAGCTGGAGGATTCCGGAAGTTAAACATATCTGGCAGGCTAAGCTAAATGAACGGGGGTGGGTGGGTGTCCAAGGTTCAAAATACGCGTGCAGGTTGCGGTTAAGGCCGTTAAGACTCGGAGCTTGGATCTGGCTGTGGATTCACCCTCCCTGCCTCCATCCCCCAAGCCCCGCTAAAGTCCTTCGGGAATTGCTCTACCGCTTTCCCTCAGGATGTAGAATGGGCCTCCCTCGCTCAGCCCCAATAAATTCCACTCTTTTGTGTCAGGTTTTTGCCAGCCTGTCATTTGCCACAGCAGGTTGCCCGGAAGCCCCTTTCCCTCTCAGAGCAGCTGGCAAGCCCCCCCCCCCCCCCGCGGGCTCTGCCCAAGCTCAGAATTCGGGGAGGGAGAGAGGAACGGGTCTCAAATATGGGACCTTCCCCAAAGATGCTCTCAACGGCTCCCCTTTGTTTCCGGAGTTTGGAGCCACATTCTTGCCTGAGACTTACCCTTGGGAGACAGAAACCTGCAGGTTGTAGCAGGGGAGCAGCGACTTCTCCGAGAACTCGAACATTAAGTGGTCCGCGTCCAGCTCCTCCTCGTCCTGATCAGAGCCCCCAGGAGGGTCGAGCAAAAGGTCGCAGCTGAACTCCTCTTTCGTCTCTGAAAAAGACGTGGACAGGGAGGGAAGATGAAGGGAGGGAGATGCTGCCGGGCCCCGTCTGCAGATGTCCTCGGTCTCAGTGCAGGGCCCATTACGACTATTAGTGGCTGCAGCAGAAGCGCCACGGCGGAGAAGGCAGAAGCAGCCAGCGAGATCGATCGCCGTGGCCCCAAATTACAGGCTCACGTTGCTTTGAAGCTGGCTTAAAAGAAAAGCAGCTCATTCCCTAATTCTTCTGGCTGCAGGGTGGACAAGCAATATCCCCCCCTTTTTTTCCTACAGTGGTGGTGGTGGTGGGGACTTGAGGAATAGTCTCCTATTCGACTAGCAAAACTATTAACAACATCTGTAAATGAAAAAAAAAAAAAAGCTCAACACAGGTGCCCCATCTGTGTTTCTGCAGGACAGTGAAGTCTCCATGCAGAAGACAGAGGAAGGAAAGAAAAGGAGAAAGGAGAAAGGAGAGGAAAGGAGAGGAGAGGAAAAGAAAGGAAAAGAAGGGAAAAAGAAGGAAAGGAACCTTAATTAGGAAGCCGTGGAAGGAAAATGGAGAACCCCATCTTTGCTGTGATTATTAAGCCCCCTAACCTTCCTCTCCTCTCGCTCAAGGATAAGAGGAAATTGACACAGACCACAACTACTTGTGTTGCCCACAGGGTAAAGTAGGCAGGGGCTAGTTCTACTCACCTAATACCGAGCTGCTGTAGAAATCCCAGGCAGTTTGGGGGTCCCCATCAAGTCGTCCCTGCAGGTCCAAGAGGTAATCTACAAGAAAGACCATACAGGAAGAAGCAAGCTGAGGTGGATTCTCTTGATCCGAGGCTCATGGGAAAGAGCCCTGAAAATCAGGCTGGAATGATAAATCCAGCACAATTTTGCAAGTTGGTTTCTTGCTGGATTTTATGTTTCTTGCTCAAGCAGCTTTCCTGCAAAACCCACCGCGCAGACTTTGCATTCAAACCCAGCTCAGGCCTTCTTCGGAGAGAAAGAACAACAACAACATGTCCTAGCTAATTCAGAGTCCAACTGTTCGCCTCTTAGAAATCAGTAATCCTTCCCACAAAATTGAAATAGATTTTCCATTTCAACACCGTCTCTGGGTGCCTTCTCTATCCCGATGGAAGATGAATGGATGGACGAAGGGTGGATAAATAAATGGCTTTAAAAAAATCACGACTTCGCTTTTAGGAGGAAGCAACTCACCAGCCAGGAAGCTTTTCATCACCTCGCTGTTGGCTAACTTCAAGGCCGTCTGCCCCGAATAAGTGGCCAGGGTCGGGTCAGCACCATAGGACAGGAGCAGCCACAAAATCTTCAGGTTGTCATTTGCGACTGCGTCGTGTACCGGCCTGGTGGCAGGGGAAAACTTTTAAATAAATTTCATGGTCTCCGCTCCTTACATCAGGTCAAACATTTTGCAGACCTCCTCTTTTGTAGCCCAAGTATCAGAATATCGTCAGCAACTTGGTTCCCTCTGGCTAACATTTTTTACACCGTGAAAGAAATTCGCGTTCTGAATATTCTTGGTTTTCGTTCTCCTTTGGCAAAACTCCTTTCTAAACATCGCTCTAACTCGGAGCTCTCCAAATTTGGCAACTTTAAAGACTTGTGGACTTCAGCTCCCAGAATTCCCCAGCCAGCATGAGGATTCTGGGAGTTGAAGTCCACGAGTCTTAGTTGTCAAGAAGGGAGACCCCTGCTCTGACTGGAGGAAGGGGTGTGATTCTGTCCTTGGTAATTGAGCAAATGCTGAATTCCTAAGAAATAATGGGCTGTAGGGATGTTTATTTATTTATTTGTTAAATTTATTTGCCGCCTATCTCACCGTGAGGTTAGTCTAGGCCAGGGGTAGGCAACCTTGACTCTTTTATGACTCGTGGACTTCAACTCCCAGAATTCCTGAACCAGCCATGCTGAGGGGAAAGCAAGAGGTTTCCAAGCTGAGCCATGCTGGCTCAGGAATTCTGGGAGTTGAAGTCCACGAATCATGAGGGGGCCAAAGTTTCCCTCATGCTGGCTCAGGAATTCTGGGAGCTGAAGTCCACGAGTCATAAAGCAGCCTAGGCCTAGGCCAGAGGTAGGCAACCTTGGCTCTTTTATGACTCGTGGACTTCAACTCCCAGAATTCCTGAGCCAAGGTTGCCTACCCCTGGTCTAGGCGGTTTGCGATAATAAAAAGGAAGAAAAGTGAAGGGAGTGTAAACATAAGTAAAATAACAGGACAATGAAGAAAAGAGCCGAAGTGGCGCAGCAGTTAGAGTGCAGTACTGCAGGCCACTTTAGCTGACTGTGTTCAGCAGGTCAGCGGTTCAAATCTCACCGGCTCAAGGTTGACTCAGCCTTCCATCCTTCCGGGGTAGGTAAAATGAGGACCCAGATTGTTGGGGGCAATGTAAATATAAATATATACATTGCTTATTGGTGTACACTGCTTAGAGAGTGCTTGCACTTAAAGCGGTATATAAGTCTCATAAATAAATAAATAAATAAATAAATTGGGAGTGGGAGAAAAGTAGGTGTTGCACGCAGATTCAATACAGGGCTTAGAAATCAGAATTCCAACTTGCCTGGTGCCATCTTGTGCACTGCAGTTCACGTTTGCGCCGTGCTCCAGCAAGATCTGCAGGATGTCAACCCAGCCCCGGGCGCAGGCCTCGTGCAGAGCGGTGTAGCCGGCGTTGTCCCGGTGGTTGACGTCGTTGTTCGGCTTCCGCAGGCAGTACATCACCACGTCCTGCAAATGGAAGACCCACCATTTGAACAGCTAAACTCAAAACCTACCAGGTGAGAATTTCCACGGCCCAGCTAGATGGCTGTCAAGTGAATTGCGCCCGATTTTAGGAGGGTTTTTTTTTTTTGCCACAGCTGTTAAGCATATTGCTGCAGCTGTTAAGTGAATCTGTGGCTGTTAAGCGAATCCAGCTTCCCGCAAAGACTTTACTTGTCAGAAGCTGGCTGGGAAAGTTGCAAATGGCCTCAGGAGGCGACGACTGCCATAAATACACGCTGGTTGCAAAAGCACCCAAATTTGATCACAGGACCGGTAGGAACATTGAAATGGTCATAAGTGGGAGGAACAGTTGCAAGTCACTTTTTTCAGCGCCGCTGTCATGCCAAACGGTGGTGAAAATGGTTATAAGTTGAGGACTATCTGTAAAAACTGCCTCTCCACCTTGTTGGCTTTGCTCTCCCCACAGTGCCCACCTTGTAACCAAGCCGGGCCGCTCTCTGCAGCAACGTTTCTCCAGCGTTTTTGTTCACGATCAGACGTCGAGCTTCGGGGGGCACGGGTGGACTTGCGGGGGTCTCGGGGGTCCTCTCCACGTTGTGCTGCCGAGCTTTGCCAAAGGGGCTGTGTTCCCGGGACTTCTTTGGAGAGCGGGACTTGGCCTGGGCACGGGAAGACATGGAATTTGGTTGGAGCAGAGGAGTCAAAAGAGGCTTGTTTTCACTAGAGGAAAAATAGCATGATAGTTGCCTTGTGTGCCCAACAATCCCTTCCGAATAGGAACAGGCAGAATAAATTATGAACTTGAAATAAATGTATGCCAATATTTGCACTCAGGGCTGCTTGTCCTCCTTGCAGTGCCTTGCAAGGAGAGAACCAATTTCCATGTGCAAATAACAACTTTAGTAACATTCTTAACTGTTCTGTGTGTGTGTGTGTGTGTGTGTGTGTGTGTATTTCTTTCTTTCTTTCTTTCTTTCTTTCTATTCTTTTCCTTTTCTTTTTTCTGTCTCTTTGTCTTTCTGACTTTCTTTTCTTTTTTCTTTCTTTCTTTGTCTTTGTTTTTCTTTGTCTTTCTTTCTTTTTCTTTCTTTTTTTCTTTGTCTCTTTCCTTCCTTCCTTCTTTCTTTTTCCTTTTCTTTCTTTCTGTCTGTCTTTCTTTCTATCTGTCTTTCCTTCCTTCCTTCCTTCCTTCCTTCCTTCCTCTTTTTGTCTTTCTTTTCTTTCTTTCTCTTTCTTTCTTTTCTTTCTTCTTTGCCTTTCTTCTTCTTTGCCACCTTTATTATTTGTACAAATAATCAAGGCAGCAAAGATATCCAGCACACCTTCCTCCTCCTATATTCCCACAAACACAATCCCGTGGCAGGCTGGGCTACAAAAGAGAGAGAGGGAGAGAGAGGGAGAGGGAGAGAGAGAGAGAGAGAGAGAGAGAGAGAGAGAGAGAGAGAGAGAGAGAGAGAGAGAGAGAGAGAGAGGAGAGAGAGACTGGCCCAAAGTCACCCAGCTGACTAAGGTGGGACTAGAACTCACAGTCTCCCACTTCCTAGCCTGATGCTTTAATCACTACTAGACCAAACTGGCTCTCTTTTGGAATGGTTTTTATTCTGTATTTATAGGGTAAAGTAACCTGAAGTCTTTGGAAGAATAGCCATATAGAAACATAGTAAATGAATAAATACAGCTTTCAAATGATATCAATTCCTCAATTTGGTCCCTCTGACCACCCCATTCCCAACACTCTTTACCCCAAAGGTGCTTTTTCAAAAGGCAACTAGACTTTCTTTGTTTTTCCTTGAAGACGTTTCGCTTCTCAGGGAAGAAGCTTCTTCAGTTCTGAGGCTTTTCCGTCAGAACCGAAGAAGCTTCTTGCATGAGAAGCGAAACGTCTTTAAGCGAAACCCAAGAAATGGTTCTGAAAAAGCACCTTTGGGACAACCGTGACCTGGATGGCGGAGGATCTCCAGAGACGCTTCTCCTTACCTTCCCCTCTTCGCAAATGCCTGACAGGTGTTTGGTTTTGCACTTGCGTTTCCCGGAAGGCTTCTCCAGCCCTTCTTGCATTGGAGCCACGCCGGAGTGATCCAGGAGGAACCCATTCTGGAAGTCCAGGTGGCCTTGGAGTGACGGGGAGAGCCTGCTCCTAAGGCAGAGCTCAGAGGCTTTGCCCAGAGTTGAGCTTTTGTGCTTTCTGTACCGGAAGTCTACAGGCAGACCACAAAGAGAGAGAGAGAGAGAGAGAGAGAGAGAGAGAGAGAGAGAGAGAGAGAGAGAGAGAGAGAGAGAGAGAAAGGTTAGAGGTGCCTTCAAAGAAAAGATCCTGCTCCCCCCCCCCCAAAAATGTGTCTCATAGAGGGCCAGGAAAAAGAAGGGAGCAACAGCAACAACCAAAGACCAGTCTGCCTTTTTTTGAAAATTTGCTCCTTGAGCTCAGCGGCTGACTTGTATAGCTGCCTGTTTTGGGGGTGAAATAAATCCTAATCTTCGGAAGCACCCTGACCGTGTGCTGTGATCTATAGTCCTACCTACGGTATGCTATCTGTATAAATAGTAGTTGGATTATAGCATACGTGTAGGCCAAGGGCTAAATTGCAGACTTCTACGTCTGCATTCACCGGAAAACAGGAATGGGATTCCAAAGCAAAGGATTCTGGGAAAACAGGGACGCTCCCTCCCAGTAAAGGCCCAGGAGCAAAGGATTCTGGGGGGGGGGAAGGAACTTCCGCTTTCTTACTAAAGCACCCTGCAAAAATAAGAGAGGAGGACAAACTACAACCCAGAAGTTCCTCGCGGACTCTTGAGAATCAGGATCAGAATACTTAATTTTGGCCCAGTGTGATTGACACACAAGGAATTTGTCTCCGGCGCGGAAGAGGAAGAAGATGGACATCACCCCGTCCATTTTCCGTCTTCCTAGCTTGCACCCTCCATCGAGATGCCGGTTTCCCCACTCCCTCCCCCCCCCCACACCAAATCCCCGCAGCGCTTCCTCTCCGTGTCTCCCCCGCTGCAGCCTTTTCTGCCTGCGGCTGTCGCGGAACTTGTGCGGGAAAAGCCTGCCCCCTGGTGGCTCTTGCAACAGGGAGGCTACGGGCTTCTATTTTCGGACTGAGCGCAAGCAGCAGAGCCAGGCCGAGTTTCTGCAGAAGCCCGACGTGGGTTGCCTGAGCCAATCTGTAAAAGCCGCCCTCTCCCTCCTGCCCAAGATCCTCACGGTTTGAAAAGAAGAGTAAGAATAGCAACGCCACAAGGGAGAGAGAGAGAGAGTTAGGGAAAAAAAACGGGGACTCTTTTTCAACTTTCTAAAAGCCCTGCTGCCTTGCCTCCGCTTTTCAATGGCAGGAAGGAGGTTGAGACAGGATGAAATGTTCCAGTGTGGAGGGGGGGGAGGGAAGGAGGAGGGGGCCACCCTCAATCCTCGGTGGTGGCTGCTGAGACAGAGGCTCTGCAGAGGGAGCTGGGGTGGGCATCTGTGGGGCGCTGAGGCCTGAGGGCGTGTTGCAATCTCCTGCACAGCTTAGCCAATTCAGGAAATGGATGGTTTTGTTCTCAAGCTGGCCAAGAGGATCTCCTTTGTGCTGCTGCTTGCGAGGCCTCCCCCCTATGAGCCACCAACCGTCCCTTGCTTGGTCCTCTTGTTCCGACCGGCCAGCCTGACCAGAGGCTGGAAGACCGGGGACGATGGGAGCTGCAATCCAGCACAGAAGGGCAAACGAGAGCGGCCGTCTCCCCCACCCCCACCCCCACCCCCCCAGGCCCACCCCTTCACCTGCTTTGGATTTCCGCCTCTTATGGTGGCAGCAGCTCAAGTGTTCTCCTTTGTCCCTTTCGATCAGATATTCTCCGCTTTGGTACTTCCAGCTTTTCTGCCGCCTCCGTTTCTTCCTCTTGACGTGGCTGCTCTCCTCTTCGGCTTCCTTGCGGCTCCACAGCTGCCTGCTGGCCTCTCCTTGCCAGAGCAGTCCCTGATTCTTACTGGGATGAAAGACGCCCCTTTCCGACCGAGAGTGCTCCTTGCAGCTGGAGTGAGGCGAGAGGCGGTGGGACTTCCGTAGCCGGTGATGCTTCGGGGGAAACTCCTCGTCTTCGTCGTTCGCCTCCTCCAGCAGCGGCACGATCTCCTGCCCGGCTCCGTCACACTCTCCTAACATGCCGGTGGAAGAGCCCCCCATGCTCCCTGCAGGGGGTAGGGGGAAGGAAAGACCCCGTCAAACTGGAAGCACACACACACACTACACCAAAAGGATCTCAGCTTCATCACTGCTCCACTCTGGGGCGGCTTTATTTGGCTAACAGCGTTGTTGGTGCTCTCTGACCTTAGCTGTTTCCTTGCAGACGTTTCATTACCCAACTAGGTAACATTATCAGTGCTAGAAGGGAATGACGTTTGCAGAGAGGAGGAGGACGATGACTGTGGGGTCCTTGGTGCTCTGAGCTTACTTGTTTCCTTGGAGACATTTCATGACCCAATTAGGTAACATCATCAGGGTCAGAAGGGAGAGGGGTTTGCTTTCTCTTTATACACAAGTGACGTATCCTGCCAGTGTACAACCCCCCTGCCCTTAACACACTGATGTTGTTACCTACTTGGATCATGAAATGTCTGCAAGGAAACAACCAAGCTCAGAGAGCACCAAGGACCTCACAGTCCTCCTTCATAACCTCACTCCCTCATAGGACGGATGAGGTTCTCTAGTTGAGTCGTGAAGCTTCTGCAAGAAAACAGCCAAGCTCAGGGTTCAACCTTGAGCTACGAATATTCTCTTCCTTTGGTACCATCATGCTTCCCAAATGCACAAATTGGCTAAAACTTTAGGGGAAAAAAGACAATGTACGGTTCTTTTGAACTCCAACCTATGGAAGGATGTGCAATTCAAAAGCCGGCATGCTCCAATTAAGAATGAAAGACCCTCAAATCAAGTTACTTCTCTGGCTTGCACATCATGCTCAACTGTAATGACGTTTGCTTGGTTTTGACTTTTAAGTGTGTTGTGGGGACATAACCACTGCGGTTTGTAAAGTGTGAACCCAACTACTGCAGTTTCTCCAGCAAACTATGCTTAAGCCAACCATGGCTTAGTGCAACCTTAAATCCCATTACTGGCTGTTTTGTCTGGTAGCTTTGCGAGGGGACCAAACGAGGCCCTATGTCTGTGGAGATTCTCCACCATCCAGGTTGTCCTACAGGTGCTTTTTCCAAAAGGCAACTGAACTTTCTTGAGGTTTTTTTTTCTTTCTTTCTTTCAAAATCTTTGGCTTCTCGTCCAAGAAGCAAAAGAAGAACTGAAGAAGCTTCTTGGATCAGAAGCGAAACGTTACACCTGCCACCAACCCCCAGGTCAGGCTGGCTGGATCCTAATCCTGCCCTTCTCCCACTCTTCCACAATCACCAGGCTCCACTGACCCTTGACCCAGGCCTCTCCTGGGTCAGCCACCCACCTGACTGGCTGCGTGTCCGGCTGCTCAGCACGACGGGGATGAAGTCTCTAAAATTGTTCTTGGCTTTCTTCTCCACGTAAGCTGGAGAAATGAAAAAAAATAAATACAAACAAAAGCGCAAGAGGTCTCAGGAAACAGCCACTGGAGAGGGGGTTCATTTGGGCACCTGGAAAGTTTGATTATTCTCTGCCCCACTCAAAACCCCAAGGAAGAGCTTCACGTGCCCAAAGGGATCCCTCTAGCAATCTACTGGAGAAACTGACTGGATCAGTGATGGCGAACCTTTTAGAGACCGAGTGCCCAAACTGCAACCCAAAACCCACTTATACATCGTCGATTGCCGGGTGGGTGTAGCCCATTGGCTGGGTGTGGCTGCAGTGATAACGGCAGACTGGGTAAAAAGTTCAATCAGTCAATTCCAACTTTGCAAGATCTTTTTTTTCCCCGGGAGAAGTTGAAATTGACTGATTGATTGAACCTTTTTTTTTTTTTTTGCACACGGCGGCGGAGGCCTAAAGCGAAAAAGTTTTATAAAACCCAGCTGAAGGCCTAGGACTGGGGTGACGGCACGCATGCCCACAGAGAGGGCTCTGCGTGCCGCCTCTGGCACCCGTGCCACAGGGTCACCACCACTGGACTAGATCTTCTGAGAGGCTCCTAGGATGAAGGGATAGGCCTGGATAGGGGAAGGAACGGCCACTACCCAGCTTTGAGACCCCATACCTTCCTTGCAGCTGTGCCCCCGGTGGCCCGGGGACAACTTCCGGCGTTTGCGCTTGGCACGGAGATTGCCCCGTTCCTTCATGCAGCCCAGCCGGCCCTCCTCCGCCATCTCATGGAGGTGACCGTGATGCTTCCGCCACTGTGGATGCAACAGAAACCAACTGGCTGTGAGCCTGGGCAAGTTGCTTGCTCGGTGGTTTGAAATCGCTTTGAATTCTTTTGCACCCAGAACGTTGTTTAACTACAGGGGGTCCTCGGCTTACGACCAACATTTCTCTTGCTAAGTGAGACAGTTGTGAAGCGAGTTTTGCCTCCTTTTACCATTTTTTCTTGCCACAGCTGTTAAGTGAACAACTTCAGGTGCTAAGTTAGCAACACGGATGTTAAGTGAATCTGACTTTGCTCATTAGAAGGTGTCAAAAGGGGGTCGCAGGATGCCAGGACACTGTGACCGTCATAAGTATGAGCCAGTTGCCAAGTGTTTGAATTTTGCTCACGTGACCAGGGGAAGGCTGCAATAGTCGTTAAATGCTGTAGTAACTTTGAACGGTCACTAAACAAACTGTTGTGAGTCGAGGATTACCTATACCAGGGGTAGGCCACCTTGGCTCTTTTATGACTTGTGGACTTCAACTCCCAGAATTCCTGAGCCAGCCTTGCTGAGGGGAAAGGGAGAGGTTTCCAAGTTGAGCCATGCTGGCTGAGGAACTCTGGGACTTGAAGTCCACGAGTCATAAAAGAGCCAAGGTGGCCTACCCCTGACCTATACATTCCCATTTTGTACAAAAACCCCACAACGCAGCAGCACCCTTCCCCACGGCATGCTGCTACAGGGCAATACAGGCCGTCCTTGACTTACAAACGTTCGTTTAGTGACCGTTGGATGTTACAACGGACACTGAAAAATGTGACTTATGACCGTTTTTCACACGACTGTTGCCGCATCCCCTGGCTCGCGTGATCAAAATCCAGGTGCTGCCATGGCAGCTGGTTCACACTTAGGACCGTTGCAGTGTCCCAGGGTCACGTGATCCCTTTTGCCAACCCTCTGGCAAGCAAAGTCAGCGGGGGAAGCCGGATTAAAACCCTCCATGCAGTCGTTCCCTTAACAGATTTGACAAGAAAAGTCTCAAAACTTACTAAACAAATTTCTCGCTTAGCGACATACATTCTGGACTACTACAGCTGCAGGGCGAACAAGCAAGCGGCACCGTGTCCATTTTTCATTTAAGAAAAAATGGTGCCAAACTTCCAAGAACTTCCGTTTCCTTTCTGGCCCTGCCATTGCTCCTTCCCCCCCTCCCGAATCCATCCTGCAGGCCCCCAACCCCACTGCTTCTGACTCCCCATCCGAGAGGGGTCCTTGCTCTCCTCTTCTGCCCAGCCATGCCACCCACCTTGCGGCTGTGCTGATTTTGGCTGCTCGTCTTGCAGGGAGCCCCCAATTCTTCTCCCGCGCGGCTCGTCGGCTTCTTGTGGGCTGGCCGATCCGGCCCATCGTGGTGCCGCTTGGATTTGCACGGGAAGCCCCCCTCGACCTTGATGTGGGCCAGTCCCTTGAGCTTGGCTTTCGGAGGGTCCCTCAGGGTGGCCCCCGCGTGCAGGCAAGTGGCCGAGGCAAAGGGGGCCTCGGGCTCCACCCGCTCCTTCTTGATCCGGCTGAGGTCCACCTGATGGCTGGGGCAGGGGGGCATCTCGACACTCAGTGGGTTGCGGGAAACGTCTCCTCGCCGCTCTCGGCACTGGTTCTCGGCCGGGGAGGCCAACTCTGCGGTGACCCGGAGGCTCGCCTGGCTGGCTAAGGGCAGGCCGTGGGGCAGATGGGCAGTCAAGAATGGACTCTTAGCTTTGGGGTCCCCGGAGTGCTTGTGGGCACAACCCTCCGGGAGAGCTTCGGGTGGGGGGAGAGCGCTCTCGGCAGCCGAGTCCGTCTCTCGTCGCTCGAGGCCCTTTGAGCCCTTCGCCTCGGGCGGGCTGGTCTGGAGAGCTGGAGAGACGCACAAAGGGCTTTCGATGCTGGGCAGGGCTGCCTTACAGCCCTTGCCCTGGGAGGGGGCTTCGGGGGGCTTCTGGACCACCGGGGCAGCTTCTGCCAGCTGCCCAGCAGGGAACACAACTGGTTCGCTGGGGCCGGGGGTCTTAGAGGGCCCGACTGGATTAGGGGGCAGCTGTGCCGTCGCCGAGATGCCAATGGAAAGCAGGGTGCCCGGATGGTAATGGGACCACCCGATGGGCAGGAGTTGGGGGCTGGCAGGCTTCCCGTTGACCGAACACCGAGAGTAAATGTTTGCTTGGCTGGGATTCCAGAGTGAGAGTTCTTTGGAAGGGCGTAACGGAGCAGCCAGAGTGCGCCTCGTGGGGTCGGCTTGCCCCTCTGCCCCACTTTTTTTCCCAGAAGGTAGCCCGGCGCTCCGGGGCTCTCCCTGATCGATAATGCAGATGGGCTCCTGCTTTGGAAGATGGCGGGGGTCCCTGCTGCTTAAGTCGGCCCCGGAATCCTTGCTCAACAAGACCGACGCTGGCACTGGGTTGGCCACCCCCATGTAGGTGCCCGGGATGGTGCCAATGAAGGCCGTGGGGTTCTTCACCCATGTGCTCTGCTCTCCGTTGCGTAGGAGCTCTGGGAAGATGACGAAGGGCGAGGTGGCGGCCTGGGCCACTCGACTCTTGGAGAACACTGGCGTGAGCAGAGCTTTGCCACTGGGGTGCACCGGGGTCAGCACGGGCATCGGGGGCGTCTTGCGCTGGCTCGGCGGAGGCAGCTTCTGGCGGTTCGACTTGGAGGACAGATCCAGAGGCATCTCGCTGCATTCCGGGGAGGAGACCATCTCACGCTCCAGCTGCGGGGGGGACTTCAGCGGGGAGATGGAGGCCAGGACCCCCGCAGCGAGCCGTTCGGGAACTCGGGGCAGCACGGTGGCAGGACCTGAGAGGGGGACAGCGCTGGCACAGGAGGCTGCCAAGGCAGGGGTGCTGGGGGCCAGCTCTGGGCCGTTGGCAGGAGGGCCCGAGCCCGGCGCGGCAGGGGTGCTACTGTTTTCTCCGGAAGATGGAGTGCAGCTTAACTGAGCGGCCTCCACGCAGGCTGCTTTGGGGTCAGCAGCCAAGGGTCTGCTCACAGAGAAAGCATACGGATAGGGATGAAGACCGGGCAGGCAAGGGTCTTGTTGGAAGGAGGATAAGACCGGGAGGGCAAGGGCGGGCGAGACCCCCAGCGTGTTGGAAAGAGGAGGAAGGTAAACCAGGGGCTGGCTGGGGGCGAGGACAGTGGCTCCTGGAGGCAGGGAGAGGGACATTTTTTGCATAGGAGGAGCCTGGGAGGTCGAAAAACAGACGCTCTTCAGGGTGTAGGTGGTAGGAGCCGGGGCCACCGTACTGCAGCTGCTGCTGCTGGTAGCAGTTATGGGGTTGACGGAGGCACCGGTCGCTGGGAGACCCTTCTCTTTTCCCATCTGTTCACTCTCCAGAGCTTTGGGGCAAAACAGGGTCACCTCCGTCGCCTCTCCAGCAGAGGGACACGGGCCGTCCAGGCTGCGGCTGCTGCTGTCGTCCAGCTGGGGCAGTTCTGGCTCTTGAAGCTTCCCAGTCTTGGCATCGCTGCCCTTCAAGGCCTTCTGAGCACTGTCTGGCTCGTGAGCCTGCTCCCGGAGTTGGGGGCCGGGTTCTTCCTCCACGGTGCCCTCCGGTTCAAACCCTTCGGCGCCCCCACCGCTTCCCGTAACTGCTGTGATCTCCACCTGGAAAGGGGAGAGAGGAGAGAGGATCAGGACCGTGGCAGTTCAGCTCCCTTCACATGGAGGAGGGCACAGGACATTCTCTGGGCATTCTGACCCTCCTTCCCTCTTTCCTCCCCGACCCACCTTGGAAAAGCTGTTGCAGAACTCAGGCGAACCCAGGTGCTGGGAACTGCTGGTGTCAGATTCTTCATCAGAAAGCGGGCCTCTCCTACAGTGGGGGGGAAAAAAGAAGAAGAAGAGAAACCTGGAAAAATTATCCAGAGCTGCGGGGCTGAAGTCGCTGATCTCACGGGCATAGTATGTCTGTGGCTAAAGTCGCATCCAGGGCCACAAGCTGCCAACGGCCTTATCTTAAAAGGGGAACAAGTCGGGAAGAAATAGTCTCTGCCTGATAGAAGAGAATCTTTGTAGCCCAGGGTTGAAATGAGGGGTCCTTGGTGCTCTCCGAGCTGGGTGGCTTTCTTGCAGGTGTTTCACAACCCAACTAGGGAACATCATCAGTGCTAGAAGGGAGTGGGCTTTGTGGAGTGGAGGAGGAGGAGGAGACTGTGGGATCCTTGGTGCTCTGAACTTGCAGATGTTTTGTTACCCAAATAGGTAACATCATCAATTTTAGAAGGGAATATGATTTATAGATGGAGGAGGAGGAGGAGGAGGAGGATGACACGATGGAGACTGTGAGGTCCGTGGTGCTCTCTGAGCTTGCAGATGTTTCGTTACCCAAATAGGTAACATCATCAGTGCTACAAGGGAATATGATTTATAGAATGGAGGAGGAGGAGGAAGAAGGGAGGGAGGGAGGAGGAGGAGGAGACGACTGTGGGGTCCTTGGTGCTCTCTGAGCTCGCAGATGTTTCGTTACCCAACTAGGTAACATCATCAGTGCACTGGTTTGATATTGAAACCTAGCTGGATAATGAAACCTCCGCAAGAAAACCACCAAGCTCAGAGAGCACCAAGGACTCCACAGTCCTAGTCATTGTCGTCGTCGTCCTCCTCCTCCTCCTCCTCCTCCTCCCCCCTTTTCTACTAAGCCATTCTGAATAGAAAGCCCCCCTTAAGCCAGAGCGCCCAACAGCCTTCCCAGGCTCCTGAAAGGTGTGCCAGATTGGGAACGGCTACAGATTGGGGAAGACCCCATTTCAAAGTCGTTTCAGCCAGCCTGAGCTTTATGTTGCTTGTAAAATGGGTCATAAAATAAAGAAACGTGTTCCTCAAAAGCTTGCCGCACCCTGGAGAGAGGGCCAGGCGATGCTTTAAACAGACGCAAAACTTCCTTTGCCTCTGTAAAAAGTTACTGGCAAAAACACCTTCCACAAACTCTGGCGCTTCTGCAGCCTTCACGACGGCCACTTGGGGTTTCCGATGTTTTAGATCCAATTTTAGAAATGCTATTTTGTCAGGGCGCACAGACGCTGGAAAGGCAGGGACGCTCACGCATTTTGAAGAGTGGAATATTAAACATTGCTTTAAACCGCGATGGTTCTCATGGGGGGGGACATCAAAGGGGGGGGTGGGCTTAGTTCAAATCCTGACTCAGCCAGGCAGCTCAAGCTTCGCCTGCATCACAGGGCTGTCGTGAGAGGAAGGGAAACGGAAGAGAAACAGAGCAGACGAAAACAGTTGTTGTCGCTTTTGGTGAGATGGGTGGCTGCAAATAATCCTCAACTTACAACAGTCCACTTAGTGACTGTCTAAAGTTACAGCGTCAATAAAAAAAGTGACTTAAGACCATTTTTTCACTCTTAATGACCGTTGTAGCTTCTCCAGGGTCACGTAATCAATATTCATTGGCATCTGACTCATATTTATGACGGTCGCAGTGTCCCGGGATCAGGTGATCCCCTTTTACGACCTTCTGACAAGCAAAGTCAATGGGGAAGCCAGATTCACTTAACAACCGGGTTACTAATGTAACAACTGCAGTGATTTACTGAACAACTGCGGCAAGGACGGTCGTAAAACGGGGCAAGGTTCACTTAACAACAGAAATTTGGGGCTCACTTGTGGTCATAAGTTGAGGACTACTGTACCGGGATATTTTTTTTTTCAATTTACATTGAGTGTGTGTGTGTGTGTGTGTGTGTGTGTGTGTGTGTGTCTGTGTGTCTGTGTGTGTGTGTGCACGCACACACACACATACACCTACACACCTTCATGGGCCTGTTGGTTCTGCCTTCCCACCCAGCCCGTTTCTCATGCAGCTCCTTGGGAAAATTAATTGCCCACCAGTTTTAAAAAGCTTCTGCTTGAGAAGGCAAATGCGCACGTACACACAAAACACACACAAACAAAACCCCCAAATATTTTGCAAGCAACTTGACAGTATTTGGCATCTCCCAAACGGGACAACTTGATGCGGCCATCTTCAGCGTGGCCAACAATTCAATTTAATTATTTACAATAAAAATCATTTTAATTGGGGTCATCCGCGTTTCACCCTGTCCCTCCTTTCCCATCCTTTCTTTAAGGATTCTATTCCCCCCCCCTCCCCATTTCTTTGATATCGGCATAACTCTTGTCTCGGGGCGAGTTGCCGCAGACCCAGGGACCCCGATTCACAGATGAATTCAGCGGGAAGGAGAGAGGAGGCAGCGTGGCGGCTGAGATCTACAGCCAGGCCGGCCTCCCTCTCCTCATCTCACCCCCCAGTGCTTTGCAGAACGCCCGTCTCACCTTTCTTCGTTGAGGCTGCACGTGTGAAGCCGCTCGGCACCCGTCCAGTTGTGCACCCCGCTGTAGAGAGGTGCCGCAGAGATCATGACAGCCGCTCCACACCAAGCACGTCCGGTTCAGTCAGGGGCTCCGCCTGGAACGGCAAAATAAACACACACCGTTCGTTGTCGGGCTGAGAGTCCAGCCTTGTTGCTGCTGCTGGATCGGCAGTTCCCGAAGCAAAGGGAAGCACAATTGCAACACCCGCCCGCTAGACTGAGACGCTGCTCTGCCTCCAGAGGAGGCTGGAAGCAAAACAGTGAACTGCCCGGGAAGAAATATAAACGCATGGACGTCCTCGGCTTACAGGCATTCGTTTAGCGACCGTTTAAAGTTACAGCGGCACTGAAAAACAGGACCGTTCTTCACAGGGATGACCATTGCAACATCCCCAGGATTGCGTGATCAAAATTCAGATGCTTGGCGACTGGCTCGTATTTATGACCGTCGCTGTGTCTCAAGGTCACGTCATCCGCTTTTGCGACCTTCGGATAAGCCAGACTCACTTAACGACAGAGTTATCATGAACTTCCGCGATTCACTTCACAACTGTGGCAAGAAAGGTGTTAAAACTCACTTAAATGTCTCACTTAAGAACAGAAACGTGGGACTCCATTGTGGTCGTTAAGCCAAACACTGAAGGGATCCCGGCTCCTCCAATGCTAAAACAGGCCCTGGGAAATCAGTAACTGCATTTGGACCGCACATTCTTGAACTGAAATTCGGAGTAGGGAAGAAACTATCACGAGCAGCTGAAGATCTGAGCTGTGCAAGATCTGAGCTGTCAAAGCTGCAACTCAGAGCAGCTCTGGGAACTGATTAAAGCCGCTTGCTTCTCCCAAGAGGGGAGAGCTGGCGCTGCTTCAAGACTCACAAGGAATTCAGAGCCAGGGACATCCGGAGTGGCTTCACATGTACTTCTTTTTCCCTGCCTGGGAATAACCAGCATGGCGGGTTTTAACATGTCTGGAGATCGCCAGGCTGGGAAATGCTAAAGACAGTTTACGGATGTGAGCTTAGAGCAGTGGTTCTCAACCTTTTTAATGCCACGACCCCCCAACCGGTCGTAAGTCGAGGACTATTCAACCGGTCGTACGTCGAGGACTACTCAACTGGTGCAGCACCGTTTGCAGAATGGGACTTTTGGCGGGCTCAGCAGGGCAGAGGCAGCCTGGACAATTCCTATTGGCTTTTGAAAGCCAATAGAATTAGACTCTATTCAAGAGAGTCTATTCTATTGGCTTTCAAAAGACAATAGAATAAAAGGGAGTAGCACAGCTAAGGAAAAGGGGGAAAAAATGGCGGACTGCGTTGTTTGGCGACCCCCGTGAAATGGTCGTTTGACCCCAAATGGGGTCCCGACCCACAGGTTGAGAACCACTGCCTTAGAGCTAAAGGGACAGAGGCTGGGATAAGTGGGATGATTTTGCTACCATTCACTCTGGTCTGCGTACAAAATAAAAAAAATAAACGACAAAGAGAGCATCGGGTATGTTTCCTTCACTAGTTCAGAGCAGATGTGAAGTGTATTGTTATAGTAAACAAAAGAGGAAAACCAGTCTGTTTTACTGACTTGTAATATCAGACCCAGGGAAATGCATCCAAGTGGTGGCTTTGGGCCGGCTGTTCCTTTAGCCCAGGGGTCCTCTCCAAACTTGGCAACTTTTAAGACTTGTGGACTCCAATTCCCAGAATTCCTCAGCCAGCTTCAAACTGCCACGTTTGGAGACCCCTGTTTTAGCCCAACTGACCTTACAAGAGAATCTTCGGTGAAGACAAAGCAAGCACCCTGTCCTCAGCCCTCCTTCTGCCCCCCCCAGGAGATCGGTGTGTCAAGACTACAAAATCTCAAAAATAGAAATAAAAGAGGGAAGGCAGACCTTCCCTCTGACGCATGATCCGGTCCTTTCTGAAGGCCCCGTGGGAAGGCAAGGTCGCAGGACAAGGAAAGCCAGGGGTGTGAGGGGAACAGCATCAGATGAAGACAACCCAGGGATGGAAGAAGAGCAGCACAGCCCCAGCCCCAGCAGAACCCAACCCACAGCCTGGAGAGGAGTGGGGGGGGGCAGCAAAAGGCGGGGGGATTCCTGGCAGACCCCCCAAAAAGAGGCTAGAAGCAGAAGAAGGAAACTGCCCCACCAGCTGTACAAAGGCACGTTGGGGGTTAGTAAGGCATGCCCCCAAAAGGGACATGGTACAGCAGCACATTCTTCTTCCTTTTCTCCCAGGGACGATGTGGGGAACGAGCCAGACAGAAGCATTCCCAGGAAGCTGCGAAAGAAGACGCCGCGCAGAAGCCCTCCCAAGCTAAGCAGAATCCAAACATCTGAAAGGGGGCGGGCCGTGCGGGAGGGAAGAACACGCACGCCCACAGCCCAGCGTGCACATGGGTGCACAAAGCTATGGCATCACAAGGGCATGTTTTTAAGAAGACTGGGGAGGGGAGTCTCCTGGGAAGCGGGCAGCAGGAATGGGAGGTGCCCAGCCCACTGGCTTCCCCAAAGGAATCTGCAGAGGACCAAGGCCACTGAGAAGACGCCCCAGTGAGAGAGAGGTTGTCTTCCGTAACTGGGAGAGAGGGAGACCCCCCCCGGGGAATGCCCACCACCTGTGGACCCTCCTCTTTTCCTGGGGTCAGTCACATGGCTGAGCAAGAGGTCAGAGTAGCCAGATGTCCTTTGCCCAAGGTGGATAGTTAATTCTGGGAGTTGAAGTCCACATGTCTTAAAGTTGCCAAGTTTGAAGACCCCTGCTCTAGACAGTAATCTGGCAGAGCCGTTCTATTAAGAATACCTGGAAGCCCAAAACCTAAGCTACGTCTTGCAAGGAAGAGATCGGGAAGAACAAAAGGGATTGAAGTCGTTGATCCAGAGAGGCAGGTGAAAGGACAGCCAGGCATGACTCACAGCCTGGACTGACAGGACAGAGGGAACCACAAGCTAGCCTAAGCCTCCCAATTTTAGCCGTGCCAGACATACGGAACCAGCCTGCCTGTTGTGCAAACTCCCAAACCACAATTCAGTTCATCCTACGGGAAAGCCTGCCTTACAAACATCACCGGAAGGGATAATGACGGCTGAACAGACAGGTGAGGTTTAAAACAGGGTAAACAAACAAAAACAAGGCAAGGGACTGGCTTCAGCGAAGAAGAGCAATGACTGCACCTCCAGGACTTAGCAAAGCTCCCGTTCAAAATTCTTTCAAGGGGTTGCAAATGCTACTTAAGACTTCCAACCGAGAGCTTCCCAATGCACCAGGTGGGGGGGGGAGGGAGGAAAAGGTGCCTAGACTTCCCGGGAAGCCATTTGGGTAGAGAAAGCAGGCACCGACGCTCTTGAGCTAGCTGGCCATGGGTCTGACTTAAATGGTAGGGCTGCCAGAGTCCCAACGGAAAAGCAACAGCCCCACATGGGCTTATCTGAGGCTAATGAATGGGAGGTGGAGATAGCTTTGCTGCAGAGCAAAGCAATTACGCCCGAACTCTTCCGAAAGACTGGGAAAGGTGCAGACAGAATGGACCTATAGAGTTTTCAAAGCCGAATGGAGAAACATCTCCAACTTTACCTACTTCAGCTGCTCTCTCCAGGTCTGAAAGCAAAGTCTGAAGGGCGAGAGGAGATGCCTACACAGTCCAGAAAACTTCTCCACCTTTGATCTTCCAACGAGATTCTCCAGTTGGATCAACCAAGGCCCATATAGCCCATTTGTACCTATACTTTACTATGCCAGGTGTTGCTGAATACGGCCACTCCTACAACCACATTCCAGACGGCGCTGCAAATAGCCCAGCGGCCCCCTGCCCCAATTTCGCCCAGCTGAGCAACCAAGTTCAGTTCTGCAACTCCACACGGCTGGGTGAATTGTTGACAGAACAGCAAGGTGCTCTGGAAGCAAACATTTCCTCAAGAGGGGGCTCCAAACACAACTGCAGTGGGCCACGAGTCCACACTTCTGAAGCGAAATAATCCACAGGGGAGGCAAAACCCCATAAGGCTACTTCCCAGAATTGCCAAGAACTAGCAAGAACTCAGTGGGGTCATCTAGGCCTGCGGGATTTGCTAAGAGTTCTAACCGCAGCTGGGCATCTGGGCTTGGCATCAGCCCCGCAAAACACGTTGGGCATCTTGCTAAGTAACCCGGAAAGATGAGATGGGACAATTTCACGCTCCTGTCCCAGATACCTTCAAGTCAAGGCAGCATGCAATCAAATGGTAATTGCGAACAAACCCTTATCCTTAGATGAGCTTTTGAAGGCATCGTTCAAAAGATCACAAACTCCTAACACAACATCCACGGGTAGATTTCCAAATTCTTGAGTTCCATTTAGCTCCATCTTCACAGATTAAAATGACAATCCATTTCAAACATCAAGATGCTCCTGCGATATTTAACCCTATGTGAGATGTTTACTGAAAACTGGATACTGAAATCTTAAAAAGACTTAAGCCTATATAAAACCTCACAGTTGGATATATACACACACAACTAAACAAACAATGCGTGCATATCTACTGAAGGACAAGACTTACGGAGTTTCCTCCGACTTAGCAATCAAGGTAACGTATCTGCAAGTACATTGAACGCAAATCCTGGATGGATGCCTCTGGTCTAAATTTTGGAGAAAGGGTTTTTTTTTTTTTTTTTGCCTGGGGACTTTTTGCATACTCTGACATAGATTCTTTGTTATCAAAGGGATCCAGACAAATTTTGAACGGGGCAAACAGGTGGAGGAGGGCCTGACACATGTCGCTTGAGTCTTCTGGATACAGGATTCCAGAGGCAGACAAGTGGCCTTTTGTGGGTGAAGAAAGACCACTTACTCTTCCTTCACAAGTCCAGGGGGTCTTGCCTCAATAAGGGAAGGGTAAAACAAAGGAAGTAAGGAAGAACCGACATGAGCAGGATGTGACACAGGTGGTCCTCGACTTACAGGTTTGTTTAGGGACTGTTCGAACTTACAAACGGCACTGGAAAAAAATGACTTATAAACTGTTTTCCATACTTATGACCACTGCAGCATCTCTAGTCACCTGATCAAAACTTGGAGGAGGTTTGGCCACTGGATGCATGCGTTTATGACGGCTGTAGTGGCAAGCAAAGTCAAAGAGGAAGTCAGATTCATTAACAGCCCTGTTGCTAACTTAACAAGTGTTGCGATTCACTTAACTGTGACAAGAAAGGTCGTTAAGAGGAGGCAAAATTCACTTAACAACCGTCTGACTGAGCAAAATAAATTTGGGAGGGGCCATTGTAGTTGAAAGTCAAGGACTACAGGTACTGAACAGGTCAACCAAAATGATCATTCAGTTCAGGTAGGATGATATCAGCCTGCATGCCAGGGTGGATACCCCCTTGAAGGGCAACTTAGCCAACAAGAAGAACAGAATTTTCTTCCCTTCTCCTACGGCACAGAAGTGCCAGCTATCCAACACTCTTTCTTTGAATCCATGAAAACGAGCATCTGGCAGCCACTGTGTGCTTCCAGAGAGCTGTTTGTTTCTTCAAACGAATGTCGTCTTTTTTTTTTATAAAATGCTTGTTTTAATTTTTTTTATTTTTTAAATTTTGTAAAACTGCCCTGAGCCATTCTGGAACTGGCCAGCCTAGAAATTCGGTAAGTAAATAAATCATAATTTAGCATGTTAAATTAAAAGGAGAAAGGATCCCGTTGAAAATACTTCAGGGGTTGAGAATTTCAATGGCTGCCCCCAAAAGGTGACACAAGTTTAACACAAGTTTAACACAAGTTGAAAGCTAGAGACTGACAGTCCTTCACAAGTTTTCAGATCTGTCACTAAAGCAAAGTTCATTCCTCATTTATAATTTCTTAAGCAGAGACAGGCTGCATATAAACCAGCCTCAAGAACAGATGATCCCCTCTTCTTCCCCCCCCCCACAGAAAAAAGCAACATCACCTCCTGATAGCCCTGCAATAAATAGAGCAGCGACATGCTCCCAAAACTTTAGGAATACGCGAAAGGCAGACAATGCAGTCCTATGTGCTGATGTGACTTCCTCTACTGATTCACAAAGGCGTGTGCTTGGAGCTTAAGTCGCGCTAAGGCATAGCCATCACCAAGGGGGAAAGGGCACAGATTGCTCTTTACATTTAAGAAGCCAAGACAAGCTGCAATAATAATAATAATAATAAAAGCCAGTTTCCAAGGTTTGGAAGTTGCCAACTTCTCTTCCGGAAAGCAACCGATTCAGCAGCACAATGGCAGCAGGACGACAACAGGACGGATCTGCCAGATGTCATGGAAGGCATGCTTAACAGCCGCAAGGCCTCTCCCGCGGTACAATTGCCCAGCTCAGCCCGTCCTTCCCTACTAAGAAGGCAAGGAGACAACAACAACTATGTACACAACGACTGATCTTTGCTTGCACGCCAGCTAGGTCCTGCTCAACGTGCTTCCTACTCCAAGAAAATGCAGCGGTGTTTCCTTTCTCCCCCCCCCCAGTTCACAACCCCCCCCCAAGCTACCCCACACAAACTTTTGGCCCCTCTCTCTCTCTCTCTCTCTCTCTCTCTCTCTTTCTCTGCAAATGACCACATTTCCCTTTCTCGATCTGCAGCCAGCCTCACCGGTGGTGGAACCTCACTGTGGAAACCTGTGGCAGTTGCAAATTAGCATCATGCTTCGAAAAACACAGGCAGTGAACAAGGCAAAGGGGGGGGGAGAGGAAGGGAGCCTCTCCCAGACCTTTTGGAAGAACTGGGGAGAAATAAAATCTCCCCCCCTCCCCCCAGCCTTCCGGGTTTGGAAGGCTGAGTTTGTCCCTGAAAAGCCAGGATGCCTCCAGCCATCACCCATGGGGCTGGATGGGGCGGGCTGGCTGGCTGGCAGAAGGAGCATCGCTTCTCCTCTCTCTTTCTCTGCCTTTTGCCACCAGGCTGCGGTTCTCCAGGCAGCAGGGCAAGGCAGGCCAGTAAACAAGCCGGGGCTGGCATTCGGGAGGCAGGGAAATAAATGCCTACCTGCCAGGGAGGGACCTCCGGCTCCAGCCTGTCTCAAGCAGCAGACCTCTCCCGGCCGGCTGGCCCGGCGGCCGCTTCGGGCTGGGCCCGGTTCCTGCAACTCGCGAAGTCGCCCGTCCCTTTGCGCCGCTGGGCAATCCCTCCCCGGTCGCCGCTTTCTCCTCCTCCTCCTCCTTCCCTGCTTCCTTTCAAAGCCCCGGCAGGCCTCGACTCAACGGACCTCTTCCCGCAAAGCAGCCGGCCAGGTTGCAACCTTCCTCCGCCGCCGCCGCCCAGGCGGCCCCCCGGTAACTCCCCCGCCATCCCGGGCCGGCCAAGCCAGGCAGCCAAAGTTGCCTCGCCCGCTCGCCCTGCTCGGAGGCCCCGGAGCGGCGAACCTCCTCCTCCTCCTCCTTCCTTCCCCTCCGCCTCGCCCGCTCCCCGCTCAGGGTCTGCGCCGGAGCTCGGCGGCATCGCCTCCGGGCGGATGGGCTCCGCCTCCGCCCGCGCACACCGGCCGCTGCCTTCCAGCTCTCTCTCTCGCCCGCCCGCTCCTCCTCGGCCTCCCCGCTCCCTCGGGGCCGTCGCGGGCATCGCCCTTGTCTCTGCTTTTGGGTGGGCGAGGAGGGGAAGCCGGCGCAGATGCGGAGGGCGCCGGCCCAGCCAACGAGCCTCTCTTCTCCCCCCGTCCCCCCCAACCGCCAAGTCTCCGAGAAACGAAAGGAAAAGGGTCCCGGGCAGCCTTGCCGAGTCTTTCGACGGCTCCTTCCTCTCCTTGGGGGGGGGGACGGGGGCAGAGGGGAAGCTGCCCGGACTGGGGTGGGCGGGGGGCATGAGAAGGGACGGGCTCCGAGGGCGCTCCCTTCCCAGCCCGCAGGAACTGGACCAGGGCAGCTGCCCCCGGGGAGAAATGCTGCCCCCCCCCACCCCGCACCTTCGACGGCAGCGAAGAGAAACTGGAGGTGGGGGGGGAGAGAGGGAGAGATGGGGGAGGCTCTTCCCGGATCGCCGCTGCGCCCGCCCCGTCGAGGGCCGGGGAGGGGGGCCCTCCGGACAGAGCTGCTCTCCCCCCCCGGGCTGGAAAGTGGATCTGCTTCCTGCTGGACGGAAGGGGCGCCCCTCACTCCTCCCGGCCGGGGATCGCTTCCCCCCCCCCTCGCACGGCCGAGACTGACCGTGAAGAGTCGCGGGCGCTGCTGTCGGCCCGTCGGTCTTGCACGGGACCTTACCCGGCCGGGAGGACGGACGGAAGGACGGACGGACGGGCAGGGGGGAGGCGAGTCGGGGGGGCCGCGCGCGAGGAAAGGGCCGCGGTCCAAGGCCCGCTCCCTGTTTCCATGGAAACCTCACTCAAACGCCGCGCCCCCCCTCCCTCCCCGATGGCGACGGAGGCGCGGAGGGGGAGGCGAGCGAGCGAGCGCGGCGGGCCTGAGGAAGGGAAGCGGCGGAGAGCGTTCAGACGCACCTGCTCCCGGGGCGGGCCCCCTCCGAGGGACCAGCGACGTCCGGGTGGCGCCCCGGAGAAGCCAGCCGAGCGGAGCCGGAGCGGGAAGGCCGGACGGCGCGGCGGGCGGGCGGGCTGGCCGGCTCTTCTTCGCTCCACGGCCGCGGCGGCGGCGGCGGCAGCACTGGCAGCCGGAGAGTGCGAGGACGAAAAGCCAGGCACGGCTGCCGAGTCCTGCTGCTGCTGCTGCTGCCGCTGCAGGGCCTGCCGGGAAGTGTAGTCCGGCCGCCCGGCGGCCCCTCACGCCCACACCGCACCCGGCCCTGCCCTGCGGACTACTGCTCCCAGGCTGCACCGCGGCAGGCCCTGCCCGTATGGGAAGGGAAAGGGGGGGGGTTATTCTGAGCCAGCCGAGTCCGGAGAGGGAAAGAAGGGGGGAAGCGAGCGGAGAGGAGGGGCTTTGCGCCCTGCCCGGGGAGGGGGAGGGGCCGGGCAAGGGCGGGTCCGTCCTCCACCCGAGGGGAGGGAGCGATAAGAAGGGGTGGGTCGAGGGATCAGCGCTGGGGGCAGCCGTGACGCTCGGGCTCCGCGCGACCCCCCGACCCGGGGGGGGGTTCCTCTGTTCCCACGCACGGCGCAAAGCTCGGGTGGGGGGGGGCGCACCCATCCCAAAGCGGGGCGCCCGCTTCTCCCCATCGATAAGGTCACGGGACCCGAGCGGAGACAGCAGGAGGGGGCCGGAGCGTGCACGGGCGGGGGGGGGGGAGAAGGCTGCAGATCGGAAATAAAAAATACGGGGAGGGGGCGCGCAGGGCAGCCGAGGAGGCAGGGAGAGGGGACGGGCGAGGAGCCACCCAGGTGCGCGCCCCGGACCCTTCGCCCACGGGACGGCGCGGGGTCCGGCAGCGCACCGCCTGGCGCAGGGCAGGGCGGCCGGCGCGGAGGTCCCGCTGCACCGACGGAAGGAGCCCGCCGGCCACTCCGCGGGGTCGCCCTGCGCGGGCAGGCAGCCCCGGGTCGGCGTTACCTGGCGCGGCCCGAGGTCGCCTCCTTCCCCCCCCCCCCTCGCCGCTGCCGTCCCCAGGCCCGGCCGGAGCAGCTGCTGCTGCGCGCGGTTTTCGCTCCGCACCTGCGTTGTCTGGGCGCACCCTCGGATCCGTGGCGCAGCGCGGCGCCCGAGCCTGGCTGCCTCCCAATGGCTTGCCCTTTCCAGGCGGCGCGAGCCCTGCTCGGCACCGGCGGCGCTCCCCAGGGAGCGGTTGGCTGGCCTGCTTACCGCCTTCCGTCGCCTCCTCGGCTCCTCTCGGGGATGCAGCCGGAGGGAGGCGCCCCAGCTCGGCCGGAGGATCGCCTCTCGGGCTGACCCCCCGCCGGCCAGCAGTTTCCGTCGCCCGCCCGCCTTGCCTTGCCTGCCTCGGCGGCCACGCTCCTCCCGACGCCGTCCGGGCAGGGCGGCCACGCCGCACCGTAGAAGTTGCTTCGAAGGCCCCGATCGCCGGCCCGGCCTGCTGCCACTCGCGGCGGCAGCGGCGGTGGCAGCGGCGGCAGAGCAGAAGCCAAGCGCCCCCAGCACGCCGCGGCGCGCCGCCCTGCTCAGCCCGGCCCCCCTGTGGGCCGTCTCGGCCGCGATCGAGTCCGGCTTCCCCTCCCCTGGGCCCGTCTTCGCCACTGCCCAAGGCCCTCCCCTCGGCCGGGCTGGGACCCTCCTCTCCCCCCCCCCGGTGCCTGCCCAGCTCGCCCGCGGGCGGCGTCTTGCCCCCTGCCCTCGCCCCCCCGCCCCGGCTGGCCGACCGTCTAGGACGGGGCGGGGGCGCCCTCCACCTTTTTCCTGCTGCGTTTCCCGCCCCCCTCCCCGCGCCGATGCTCGGGGCTTTTCAACCGGCAGCTCCCCTCTACCTCGCCCGCCCCGCGGCCGTTCTTCCTGCCGCCTCGATTCCGCCCCGAGGCTGGCGCGAGAGGAAGGCGGCGGTGGTGGTGGTAGTGTGGGGAGGGGGGGGGTTGCCCGGTCCTCCCGCCGCTCCCCGCTCCCCTCCCCGCCGGATCAACCACCTCGACGCGGCGTGACTTCCTACAGGCGGCGGCGACTCGAAGAGCGCGACTCTCTCGGCCTCCTGGCTTCGTCCAGCGGGCCCTGAAACCAAGAAGAAGGGGGTTACGTCGCGCCCCCGGGCTGCGAGGCTCTCACGCGGCTTCAGCGGCACTTTTTGTAATGGGGATGGGAGGGGGGGGGAAGACGGTTTCAATGACCCCGGCTCGGCCATTTAACGGTAACGGACGAGGCGGCAGGGGGGGGGCAGTGCGGGTTGGAGGAGGAAGAGATCGCTAAGCTACACAGCAAGGCCTGGATCGGGAAAGCATCCTAGCTGGGCTCCTTTCCGACCGTCCATCCAGGGAGGCTTTGCGTTAAGAGTCCCAACCGGGAGTCTGGCCTGAGGGGTACCAGGGCTTTTCAAATGGTTTTCCCTTTCCCTGTGGCTGCTTTCTAAAGCACAGAACCACTTCCTGGAGCGAAGAAGGGAGCACTAGGCAACGGTGGGTGTCAAAATGTGGTGGGTGTCAAAATGCGTGTCCTGGCTTCTGACTCCTGGTCGTGGAGGTGAGCTGTCAGCTGGTTTAGGCAGGGAATGGCCAGTTCAGACATACCCCTTTGCTGTCTTTTTCAGCTTCCTTAAATAAGTTTGACTGGGACATCCGATGCCAAGCCCCGAAGAACGGGTTGATTACTTCCACATCAAATCCTATCCCGCCCACCTACATCATCTGGATTTACACCATGGGCTAGACGGAGGCTTATTTTAAGCCATGATTTGGCGAACAGGTCCTCGCAGCCTTGTGCATGTCACTCATCCATAAACTGTGGCTTACAGAGTGCATGGCTGAATTCAGGACAGAGGGGAAAAAAACTTAGTCTGAAGTGAGAATGTTGAAAACTCAAAAGCGTTTATGCTGCTGCCTTCCTTATGCCATTGGTAGGGAAGTAGTTTCATATACCTCACCGAGTGGCTGTAAGAGCTATGGACAGTAAACTATTAGAAGAAATGTTTCTTTTTCTTCCCATTACTGCAAATCACAAGAAGAGTGCAAGTACTTAATTATCTATGGATTCCTACCGTGAAGAATATCTCCTGTGTTCTTTGTACTGAGTGACCCAATTCCCACACTGCATTAAGGCAAAACCTCTTTAACTTGTATTCTATAACAATATACCCACCACTATTTGGCTATTTTCAGTGCACTAAGACACATACACTGTTAGTTTATGCACTACAACCAACCAGATCAACGCAACACATTAAAGCAAAGCCCAACTCACCTTGCTTGCACAACACACAAAATGGACTGAGTCACAATTTATTAGGCCAAACTGCCATTGGCTAGTTTATGCACCAACCTGTTGGGTGAATCCAGCCAATACCGTTAATTTATGTGCACCCGAACAATTCCATTAACTCAATATTAATTCAATAATATCGGTTAATGAACTGTGCACAATCGCACCGAATCTTAAGTTAATGGCATGGACCGGTTCATATAATAATCTGAGGTCCAAACTACTCAACCACAGCTTTGGCCTAGTGATCCTAACCTGGGACTTTAGTACTCACTGAGAATCTGCAAGATTCCATGTGCAGAAAACCCTGGCTGCATTAAAAGATGTTTTTAAAAGGCCTGACCGCTCTGCCACTAGACAGTAGTAAGGAAATCGTAAGTGTCCAGCTGACATAAACCCCAACGTGGTATGCCTCTCGCTTAAAGTTGTGAGAACAGCTCAGGATGGATAAGTTACAAGCAAAGAAAATAAGGGGTCCCAATTAGCAACGTTACATGCTTGTTAAAAAGTGTCCTGGATAAATAATACCACATGCTGGGAAGATGATCATTTACTTTCATCAACGGTAGATCTGCAAGTGTCTAAGAACCTCATTCTTCGGTAGAAATCCTGGCACTGGCATACTCTATTTATTTTCTGAGTTGAGAAAAATCTTACACTCGACTTGAGATCTATGACATCCTTTAACAGCTTGCATGTGTGAATAGGCACAATGGATCAGATGGCACCAGCAGAATTGTGGTATCATTCAGTAACAGCTCACACGTAGTTTCTAAGGAAGATGTTTCCTATGCTTGCAGGACCCAGACGACCAGCGAAGAGCGTAGCAACACAAGGTCACACTGGACTGTTGAAGGTACGAACTGCCATCACTAAAAAG